GGGTGCGCTAGGGGGTCGGGCCGGGGACGCGGGCCTCGCAGCCTGCCAAGCTGCCCTTTGTTGTGGGACGCGGGCGTGCGAGCAGGTCCGCGCGCCCAGAGGGACTTGGGGTACCAGGGTCCGGACGGAGTAGACCTCGGGCGGCGGAGTGCAGCCGTGGTAGCGGGTCTGGGCTAAGGGGTTTCGGGTTGGGCGCGGGTCAGCACGCCTCTCAATAGGTCGTGAAGTCCGTGGGGCTGGAGCGAAACTGAGTCTGGGCGGCAGGGCACTGGTGTGTGAGCTCGGGAGACCAGGATCGGGGCGAAGCGGCGGGTTCTCTCGCCTCGCAAGGCCACGGGGTTTGGGGGGCGGGTCCGCACGCACATCGGGACTGACAGTGGCCAGAGGGCTAGAGTGGAACTGACCTCGGGCGACAGGTGTGGGAGTGGATCCACACGTCCCGTGGGGATTAGGAAGTCGGGGTGCAGGTGGAGCGGTCCGCGGGCGGGGGGCGGAGCACACCAGGCGGAGACCGCGGGCGGGGGGCGGGGGAAGGGGTGGAGCAGACTGCGGGCGGGGCGCGAGGGACACGCGGGTGGGCAGAAGCCTGGGGGCTCGAGGCGAGGAGATGGGCAGGGGGTCCGGGTGTGGCGCTGACCGCCCTCGGTGCCGGCAGGTGCGGCCCGGAACCATGGTGATCATGTCGGAGTTCAGCGCGGCCCCCGCGGGCTCGGGCCAGAGTCAGCAGAAACCCCTCCGGGTGGGCTTTTACGACATCGAGCGGACCCTGGGCAAAGGCAATTTTGCGGTGGTGAAGCTGGCGCGGCATCGAGTCACCAAAACGCAGGTGCATGGGGCGGCGGGACCCTAGCTTCTCCGGAATGAGCATAAGGCCCAGGACTAAGGGTGCAAGGGGAAGGGTGACCTGAGCAAGGCAGAGTTGATTGTCATAGTGGATAAGCTTAACAGTTTTTAGTTTGGTAAAGAAAATATTCTTTGTTTCTGCATAATGTGTATGAATTTGAACGGACAGTAAAAAGGATAATGACAAAAACAAAACTAAAATAACCCAGAAGTGCAGTGGTTTGCAGAGTCTGAGCTAAAGTCTGCCCAGGAATACTTAAGACTTATTTAACTTATTTTAAATAAAGCTTAGGTTATTTTTTCCCCAACTTTTTGGACATTTTGGAGACATAAAATATTTGACAAATTAACTTGCAAAAAATGGATAAATTAGGTTATGTAAAGTTTATTTTTTTTACAAAACAAGATATTGTCTTTCTTTTTAAAATCTGTAGGTTGCAATAAAAATAATTGATAAAACACGGTTAGATTCAAGTAATTTGGAGAAAATATATCGTGAAGTTCAGCTCATGAAGCTTTTGAATCATCCTCACATCATAAAGCTTTATCAGGTAAGGGCTCAGGTTTGCCTTTCCCTGTTAACTCTGCAAAATGTGTTCTTTTTTTCAACAACATAACATATTTCCAACTTTTCAAAGTCTGTCATTTTAAAGGTTTCCCATTTTTGAGTGTGTGGGAGCCTGGGACTTGGTTGTACAAGACAAATAGATTGATTTTTTTGTGCTGTGCACGTGTGTTCACAGTTATTTTCTTGGTTTTGGATCCTAATTGAGATTTGATTTATTACCATTTTATTTAGTATCATATTTCCTTCTGGTTTTAAATGCTTAGAGGTCTGTTAAATTTGCTTTACTATGAAAACAGGCAGCCACATCTACAGTATTGTCTCAGGTCAAGCTTTTAGTAGAGATGAACAAATTTGAGGGAAACTAGAAACTTCTGCTTTTGCAGATAACTTATTAAACCAGCTGCTGTTACCAGTTTTCATTAGCTTTGCAAAGGCAGCAGTAGGCATTTGTCTTCTTTATGTAAACTCCTCCCTGAAAAATGGAGAGATGAAAATACTTTTGCAAAGTAGAGCAAGGAACTTGTTATTCAGTCAACATTAGCCTCACCCTATCCGTTTGTTAGGTTGTTTGGTAAGTTTGTTTTTGTATTGAAATTAACAAATTATATCATCGGGAATTAAGTATTAATTTAATTAGCAAGCAATGTCTTTCTTATACCTCACTTTTGCAAAGGTGAAATCAAGTCTGCTTGCAAAAGAATAAATTCTTTGCAAATGCTTAATATTTTATCCAGTAGTATTGGATAAGTTCCTCTTAATGATTCTCATGAGCCTGTGTGAATATGTGATGATTATGGGATGTTGTGTGGCTTGTGCAGTGGGGAGTCTACGCGAACATTGTGGCAGGAGAGAATTATAGTTTAAAATAGTCCTTGCATCTGCCTGATAAAATAGAGGAGGTATGGGTGGAGCTGTTTCACCTGATAGGACAGTTTCTGCAGCGCTTGGAAGCACAGTTTGTGCAATATGCACTTGGGTTGTGTGTTTTGCTTCTGCTGTCTGTTTTAAGTTGTGCGCCCAGATCAGAAGTTTCCTTCGTGGCCTCTGATGTCAGTGCCTGTGAAATGTGCCTGGCACATTTCCTCAGGAGAGGCTGGACTGTTTTGTTTTTGACTTTGCCAGAGGGCTAAACTGTGCTGGTAGTACCTGCCTCGTTGTCCTATTCTTCTCCTTTGCCCATTGTGTGGAGTTAGCTCAGTCAATGAAACAAATTGCCAATATGATTGATGCAGAGGTCTTTTCTGCCGGTGAGTTTTCGTATTGCAGTTGTATGCTGCTCGAACAGTTTGGAGAGAACAGAATTCAAAGTGCTGGCAATGACTGAATCTTGTGGTTTTGAGGGGAGTATCTAATTTTCATTCAGCTAGCCAGGCCCCAGAGCCCTGCTGAGACCCTTTATTCACTCTTGTCTTTAGGTTTTTAAATCTTTCCTTTAGGTTTTTAATGTTTAAACACATTGGCTCTTAGGGACAGCAGGTGGTGTGGTGGTCAAAGAGCTGGACTCACACATGGCCTACTGCTGTTTAAGTCCCAGACCTAGTTGCCTGAAATTTACACTGGGGACGCACACATACATGTGTGTGCATGTGCACCATCCAAAATCCTGGTGTGGCCATCCCGGGGTGGGGGTGGTGATTTCTCACTTGCCCTCTCTCTGTATCTCCTCTGGCACACATGCCCTGTGACAAAAACCTAAATAATAATAATAATAATAAACACATTGGCTCTTCTTTTTAATTCTTCTCCTTTTCGTTTCTTTTTTTTTTAATTGAGAAAAGGGATATACTGTGGTTTCCTTACTAGTCATTTGACCACACACATTTGACAGCAGAGCAGTTAAAATGATCTAAACCACTAGAATGTTAAAAACACAGTTCTTACTAAATTGACAGCTCAAAGCAATTGTCTCTAAAGTGTCTTTTTAATGGAATAACCCTGTATTTTAAACCCAAAGAAATCTTTTTCCCTAAGAATCTGTTGTCTCTTTCCTTGGGAAATCTATAAAATACACAGATGCAGGTTTTACTTGTTTCAGTACCAAAGATTTGAATTTTATCTTGTTTCTTAATTAGTTGGGTTTTAAATATCTTTTTAAGTAACAGAATTCTTGATCAATGAATGAACTTTTAAGGCGTCTGTTGACATTGGCTGTTGCTATTGACACAAGCTAAGTAACTCACTGGACAAAGAGCATCCATTGTAGGTTACCTGGCCAAGCCAGCTTCTTACAGCCTAATTTGTCTTGTCAATAAAGCAAGTGGGAATGAGGCATTTTTAATCTATTATTCAGTTTGCTCTGGCCGTTGGCTTGAATAATCTTGAATAAGCTAGGCTTCTAGAAGGTCCAGCCGAACTCTAGCATCTGTAGCCTCTAGAGTGAGGCAGCCTGAGTTAAATACGATATGGAAGAGTTCTAATACATTTAGACCTTTTTTGAGAGTAAAAATGTATTGGTATGGGCAAGTTAGTGAGGAGTTCCTCCAGTTTCTTAAAATTCTCTCTGAGTAGGAATCCTTTGTTTCTTTATTGCAGAACTTTATTTTCTTTTTTAAACGATAAGTGCATTTATCTTGGAGAAGTTAAAAATTTACTGGGATTCAAGTGGATTATTTATACTACCAGCGTGTTCTTTTTTTCATGTGGTTAAGTATTAGGTGTGTGTTTCTTTTTTTAGGTGATGGAAACAAAGGACATGCTTTACATTGTCACCGAATTTGCAAAAAATGGAGAAATGTTTGGTAAGCTACACGTCTTTTTAAGATCTGTTGGGAAAAAATGGTCCTAACTTGTCAGAATGTGTTCGCCTGGTGTTTGCGTCTGCACCTCAGGCGGCATCCAGGCGTGTGTTTGGATATAGCTGTGTTCCGTCACTGTCCCTTCAGATTATTTGACTTCCAATGGCCACCTCAGCGAACACGAAGCACGGAGGAAGTTCTGGCAGATCCTGTCGGCCGTAGACTACTGTCACAGCCAGCGCATTGTGCACCGGGACCTCAAGACAGAAAATCTGCTGCTGGACGCCAACATGGACATCAAGTTGGCAGGCAAGGGGGGCATCCTGGGGCACACTGGGAGGTGCTGTGTGTGTGAGAGGGCGCTCGAGCTGTTCGTGCACACGTTACGAAATTGTCGCCGTTGTCATTTGTAGCTGAACTTCACTTGCCTGTGTCTTTGCCTCTCAGATTTTGGATTTGGGAATTTCTACAAGGCAGGGGAGCCTCTGTCCACGTGGTGTGGGAGCCCCCCATATGCAGCCCCTGAAGTCTTCGAGGGGAAGGAGTACGAAGGCCCCCAGCTCGACATCTGGGTAGGAGCCTGTGCGTTCTCACGGACCCTGCTCCCCAGGCCCCGCACGTGATGGGAATGGGCTCTGATGCTACTTCTTGGTCTCAACAGAGCCTGGGCGTGGTGCTGTACGTCCTTGTCTGTGGTTCTCTCCCTTTTGACGGGCCCAATCTACCGACTCTGAGACAGCGAGTGCTGGAGGGCCGGTTCCGCATCCCCTTCTTCATGTCCCAAGGTAGGTTAGCATGACCACGTTAGGCCTGCCGGGGTGCTGGCTTGGAGGAGGAGGAGCATCTCCCCAATGCTGTGTAGCTGTCAAAATTCTGAGTCCACTGCCTAGTCTAGAACTCAGGTCCAGCTTACTCTGGGCTGCAGGAGAAATCAAACCCCTGGGCGCCTGCTCAGCACCCTGCTTCTAGGGTGGGTGGGTGCCCATGCTCCACAGACTGTGTCCTGGTGTGCCAGCTGAGGGCCTTGTCGCTGTCACACTCACTGCCTGCTGTGTGCAGGGCTTTCTGTTTTACGATGTTTGACCCATTGCCCACTTAAGTGTGTGTCACAGCAGATGGAAAGTCTCAGTGATTCTCTGTCTGGTGGATGTTAAGAAGGACCAAAGTGTGTCCTCCCTAGGGACTCAGTCCCCCAGTTGGTGGCAGGTTTGAGCCGACTGCAGCTACTGCTCCTGGCCTTGGTGTTCTTGAGGACCATCACTTGTGTATTCCCACCCATCTCCATGCATGTCCTCTCGCTCCCCACAGACTGTGAGGCGCTGATCCGCCGCATGCTGGTGGTCGACCCCGCCAGGCGTATCACCATCGCCCAGATCCGGCAGCACCGGTGGATGCGGGCTGACCCCTCCCTGCTGCAGCCAGTCTCTCCAGCCTTCTCCGGATACAGCCACGACTCCCAGCTGGGTGACTGCAACGAGCAGGTGTTGGGCATCATGCAGACCCTTGGCATCGACAGGCAGAGGACCGTGGAGGTGAGTGCCCGCTCTGCCCACCACACACTTCACTGCTGACTTGTGCAAGGGCAGGTAGTGGGAGCAGCTTTATCAGGAAAAGCGAGCACTTGCCCATAGAGTTAAATGGGAGTACGGGCTAGTTAAGGACCAACTCATCCACTCAAAGGATAGTCTTGGCCACCCAGGAATAACCTGAAACAGCTCCCTAAGGGAGTCCGAGGGGCCTGTGCAGAAGTGTCCCCAACACCATCCCCAAGGCTGTGAGCCAGTGGCTTGCCCTCTCCCCTCCAGCCTCGGTCTCACTTTCACTTTCTCTGCTTCCCCCAGTCCCTGCAGAATAGCAGCTACAACCACTTCGCAGCCATCTATTACCTCCTCCTGGAGAGGCTCAAGGAGTATCGGCACACGCAGTCGTCAGCTCGGCCTGGGCCTGCCAGGCAACAGAGGCCCAGGAGCTCGGATCTCAGCGGTTTTGAGGTGAGGCAGGACCTCTCCTCCCAAAGCCTGTCCCTCCTGGCGATTGTGTCACTGTGTATTGAGCCCCACTCAGACGTTTCTGGGAGTGAGACTTAGGCAGAGCTCCCAGTCTCTAGGAACCCCTACGTTGAGCTCTGGGTCAGTTGGGTGGTGCCACCTGTGAGGGCTGCAGAGCCCAGGCTGTGGGGGCAGAGAGGGCCCACCGCTCTGCTGAGGGCCAGGCTCCTCCCTTGTTTCCCCCCTCATCCTTGTGGCCTTGGAGAAGAGGGCACCGTGTTCCGTACCCCAGCCTGGCCAGCCAGTGTCCCACATCTGTCAGGGCCAGGTACAAAGCCAGTTTAGCCTTCCTCTCTATGCTGGGACCATCCCCTGATGGTGTCTCTCCCCTTTTGCTGGCCCTAGGTGCCTCAGGAAGGCCTCTCCACCGACCCCTTCCGCTCCTCCCTGCTGTGCCCACAGCCCCAGACCCTGGCACCATCCGTCTTGCAGGCTGAGATGGACTGCGACCTCCACAGCTCACTCCAGGTGTGTGAGTGCACGCTGCTATCCCCAGCTGAGTGGTTGTGTGCATACATGGGCTCTCCTGGAGGTGCCAGTGTGTGTATGTGCGTGGCCATTCCTGGTGATACAGGTGTGTGTGTGCACATGTGCAGCCACTTCTGGCTGAGACGATGCCCCTTCCTCCCACACACCTGGGTCTCATGGGGTCCAGGAATCATTATTTCATGTTCTTGATGCAGCCCCTGTTCTTCCCGGTGGATGCCAACTGCAGTGGAGTGTTCCAACACCGCTCCATCTCCCCCAGCAGCCTGCTGGATACAGCCATCAGTGAGGAGGCCAGGCCGGGGCCAGGCCTGGAGGAGGGGCAAGAAGCTCAGAAACCCTTGTCCAGTAGCAGTGGCCGGAGACACACCCTGGCCGAGGTGTCCACTTGCTTCTCTCCGCTCACCCCTCCATGTAAGTATCCCCAAGGGTTCGGGAAGACAGCCTCAGGGATGGGCTGTGGTCAAGCTGGTTTAGAATGGGCCTCCTGTGTGCCTGACATCCTTTCTGAATGCAGGCTTTCAGGATTTGCCATTTGCTTCCTTCCCTCCCTGAGGCCAACAGCCCCACCCAAGTATAGTGGAGTAGATGGTATGGGTTGGCCTGTGCCAGGGTCCTCCTGAACTACCTCCAGGAGCTGCAGGGCAGTCTTCGGCCTGGCCTCTCTGGTCCAGGTTTGGGCTCCATTGACAGTCTGCCACCTGTTGTTGCACCCTGGTAGTGGCCCACCCTGAGGCACTTGGCTCTGGTGGCCAGAGCCATCAGTGGATACCCTTTCTCCTTGAGCTGAGGGGTGGGGGTCGGGAGGAGGCCAGCATAGCTCCTGCCCCATCGCAGCGCCTCAGCCCGGCCTTGGGGAGATGGACTCAAGAGCACTGTGCTCCCTCACAGGTATAGTCGTCTCCTCCACTGCGGCCAGCCCTTCCGAGGGCACCAGCTCCGACAGCTGTCTGACCTTCTCTGCCAGCGAAGGCCCCCCAGGGCTCGGAGGAGGCCTGGCCACTCAGGGACTGCTGGGCACCTGCTCTCCAGTCAGGCTGGCCTCACCCTTCCTGGGGACACAGTCCGCCACTCCTGTGCTGCAGGCCCAGGGGAGCCGGGGAGGAGCTGTCCTGCTCCCTGTCAGCTTCCAGGAGGGACGGAGGGCATCAGACACCTCACTGACTCCAGGTGACGTCCTTTTCTATCTGCCTCGCTCATAGTTCTCCCTTCCCCAGGGCACCTTCCAATGCCAGCAAGATATGCTTTCTCCTGATGGTTAAAGGTCCCCCCATCTGTTCTGTCCAGGGTCTGGTGGGATCAGCTCTTTTTCAGCAGGCCATGGTGCCATGGGGCTCTGTGAGTCCTAGTCCACTAGAAGGGACCCGAACCTGAGCTCCCAACATGCAGACAGCCTTCCCTGGCCAGTCTGAAAGCACAGGCAGTGTTTCTGCACCAGACAGCAGCTCCTGACTCAGGGAGGGGTTCATAAGCAAAGGCAGCTCATGCTTGTCTGCCGCACGGGCCCCTGATGCTACCCCAGGGTTGGGGTGCTTACAGGCCTCAGGGATCTGAGCCACACTGCGCTGTGGTCTACCCAGACACTGCCTGCTCTGGATGGAGTCACTGCCCCAGTCAGACATTGATCTGGCCACACTGCACAACCCTGCTCTCTTGCCTCCCCGCAAGGCTCAGAAACCTCCCAAGCCAAGGGCAGTTGGTCCCAAGCTGGAGCGAAGCTGCTGATGGCCTGCTTTATCTCTCCGCAGGGCTGAAAGCCTTTCGGCAGCAGCTGCGGAAGAATGCGAGGACCAAAGGCTTTCTGGGGCTGAACAAGATCAAGGGGCTGGCACGCCAGATGTGCCAGCCTTCCAGCCGGGCCAGCAGGAGTGGCTTGAGCACCCTGCACCCTCCTACACCCAGCCCGGGTGGTCATGGCAGTGGAGCCAGTGGTCGGGAGGGCAGGAGCCTGCTAGAAGAGGTTCTGCACCAGCAGAGGTAGGCTCCTATGTCCAGGCACCAGTCGTGACAACCTCATTAGGACTCGTGGGCTGTTCCTTAAGCGTCCCCCTTCTAGCATATCATCTCACAGGGTGCGGGGAGGTTTGTGAGGCTAGGGCCTTGCTCCCTGGGGCTGGTGACACAATGAGTAGCGTCAGGCTTTGCCTGGCAGGAGGGTGGCAGGATATGAACACATCCTGTCTTTTGGCATCTCTGAGTGCTGCGGAGGTGAGGTGGAGAATGGGTCACGTGAGTGGCTCAGGAGCATGTGCCCTACCCAGTCCCAACCCCAGCTCTGTGGGGCAGGCGGTCTTCCACCTGGGCAGTGGGAACTCATAGTACCTGTGAGCGACGGGGAGTGTGCAAGCAGCATGGTGGCTGGAGTGACCATTGTCTCCTATTCCTGTGTCTGTGCAGGCTGCTCCAGCTGCAGCACCACCCGGCCACCACGCCCAGCTGCCAACTGGCCCCACCACCGCCCCCGGCCCCACTCGTGTTCCCTGCCTGTGATGGCCTGCTGACGTCGGGGCTCCCGCTGTTGCCAGCCCCACTCCTCCAGGCTGGCATCTCCCCGGTGGTGTCAGCTGCACGGCTCCTGGACACCCACCTGCACATCAGCGCCAGTCCAGCCGCCCTCCCCACCACATCCCTGCCACCACGCCTCACCCTGCTGGCTCCAGGCTGCGACCCCGTGGGGCTGCCACTTGGGGACTGTGAGATGGAGGACCTGACCTCTGGCCAGCTGGGGACATTCGTCCTGGTGCAGTGAGGACAGGGCCAAGCCCCCGTCCCCACATGGCCAACAGATTCTTTGAAGCAATAATTTTAGAGTATGTGAAGATGTTTCTGGACTCAAAGCCAAGAACTTTCTAGAAGCGAACAAGCAATACGTTAGGTGTTTGGCTGTTTATTTTTTGTTAGTTTTGTTTTCCTTTTGCACTGAGTGACCTCAACTACAAATAGGGACTGGAAACTTTCTGAAGAAAAATAATAGTCGAGGGACGTGTCATGTGGGCCGGTGGACAGGAGGGGAGGCAGGATGGAAGGAAGCTCTCAGCCAGCACCACTGTGCAGATCAGGCGACAGGATGGGGAGGCATGCAGCAGCGGACTGCGGCTCCTTTGTCCACAGCTCCCTTTGCGGTCGTGAGATGATGCCTTCAACACCCATAGGGACCGTGGGTGCATTGCCATCGTGTACACATGTGTGCTCGATTAGTTTCCTGTTTTTAGTTAACAGTTCTCCACTTCCTGAAACGTTTCTGCTTCAGTGAAAACTGTGAGCTTTCTGCTTTACGTATCGGTTTCAATACTGGTTTAATGGTCAGCTAGGCAAAGATAACGTACAGGTTCTTCAGTTCCTCTCCCTCGAAGTTGTCCCAGAGGATAGCTTCCTTTATCTTAAATGAAAAGTTTTCTAAACTGTGCGCAGAGTCAGCTTTCCGGGCCTTTTGGGGTGGGGGCCCTGGCCTGAGGGCCTCCGGCCTGGGCAAGCTGAGGAGTTTCCTCCTGCTGCGCGTTTCATTTCTGCTGCTAATTACATGTTTATGCATTTCGTCGTCAGGGTCCAACAAGAACACCTGACTGGGGGGAGTCCTGCGGTGGGGTGTGATGGGGTGACGACTGTAGGGTAGGGACAGGTGGGAGTCAGCCCTTGGCCCTGGACCATGCCTACCCTGTGCCCAGACCTTCCCTAGTAAAAGAGCCCCCACCTCCAGGCCTGGGCTCTTGTTCGGCCCTTATTGAAGGGACGTGAAACGAGAGGTTTAGGTCAGTGTTTTTAAAGCTTTGCTTCTTTTTTCTTTTTAAGCAAATACTGTATTTGTATATAATAGGAGACAAAAACACTACTTATTTTTTACATTTTGTACTACACTTTTGTGTTCCCGGTTCCGACTTCCGACTTCCCTCTCGGTCACCTTCAGGAGCATCCGGTCAGCACCAGGTGTGTGTGTGAGGGGGACCACCCTCCCTCAGCACTGGGTGCTGGTGGCTGGGAAGGAGCGGCCTCACCTGGCAGGTCGGGCTTCAACAGGTAGACTCAGGCGGTGGCTCATCCGTCGGAAGCCTCTGGAATGAGACAAAGGACAACTGCTGCTTCCCACTCGCCGCCACATACCCGCCCCTCTACCTAACCCAGGTGCCTTCAGCTTACTTTGGCTTCATACAACCTGCAGTATTACACAGAGGTCGTTAAGAAAGGGGAGAAATGAGGTTTTTCAAGCCAAAGAATGACCAAGTTACTTGAGGGTAGGAAGGAAGGCCAGGTGCTGCAGCATCGTCACTGCCCGGCCGGGCCGGTCGGTGCACTTGTGTCTGTGCTGTCTGCAGAGCGCCACTGCCACTCGGCCACCTTTCCCACTGCTGCTGCTCTGTGGCTGTGATGGGGCAGAGGGCTGTCCCCCAGGGGCTGGGCCCGGTGCCTTGCTGCAGAGGAAACACCAAAGTCTCCTGCTAACTTGTCCAGAAGTCTTAGGCACGGGGGAGAGAATCCAGACCGCCCCGGACAGCCGGGCGCTTTGCCTTTGTTTTTACAGAGTTAGCACAACAGACTCCAACACAGAGCCCTCCCCTTTCTACGAGGATTCTGACCCAACGCCATAGATCAAAGGCCTCAGAAATCGCCGCGTGTCTCCTCTTGGAAGCGATGACAAGCACTTTACTTTCATAGTGGTTTTTGTTTTCTCTTATTGCTGTAGGACCTCTTTTGGGGGGGAAACGGTAAAGTCGTGTCTGTGTTTTTCGTTTTAAGTGCGTGCTCCATGTGTTTCGTAGATTTCTCCAGAGAGCTGTTCTACAGACTGAATGCAATAGCCTATTTAAAGACACTATGTGATCTGACTGAGATGTATATAGTTTGTTTGGGTTTTTGTTTTTTTTTTACCATAACTGAATTGATTATTTTATTTCTTATGTTAACATGAGAAATGTATGCCAAATGATTAGTTGTCCGTTTTTTAATTTAATATTTAAATAAAATATTTGGGGGAAAAACCTCGATTGTTTCTCTTGGTTCAGGTCTCAGGGAGCCTTTTCTTTCCAAGTTGCTTCATTTAGAGGCTACGGATAACTCTGCGTTTATGGATAATTCAGGTCTTAGAGAGCATGGCATAGCGCCAGCCTCCGCATCTAGCCTCATTGTGAGGCGGCAGTGACATCTGGTTGCAGATAGACTCCTCTCACCCTGAGGAGCGCAGGTGGCCTGGGGCCCAGGTCTTGGCCAGGGGCTGCCTGCTCCCAGGCCCCTTCCTTGCAGCTGCAGTTTGCTGAGTCACCACCCTCCTCTTATGAGGGTCTGTCTGCACGTGGTTCTTCCTCCCTCCCAGGGTCGCTGGCCCCAGGCGTGCCTGCTCCTTCCCCAACAGTGTCGTCTGAATTCACTCACGCTTTGAGGATTTCAGAGAATCTCACAGCCAAACTATATCCGGATCTCTAAGCCTTTACCACCTTCTAACAATAAACATGGCCACTTATGAAAACAAAGGATTCTGTTCATTTTCATACCTGGCAGATGTTTTTGGTATTTAAGTTCTTCAACCTCTTTGCATAGGTTAGGATGGCCATTATCACTGTGGGGGATGTAAGATAGTACAACCTCTGTGGGAAACAGTATGGCCATTCCTCAAAAATTTCAACACAGGGGCTGGCAGGTGGCATGGTGGTTAAGGGCATTAGACTCCCACGTGGCTAACCACAGTTCGAGTCCTGGATCTGGTGGCTTGCATTCTCACTCTCTGTCTCTCTTGATCTCCCTCACTCTGTCCTTCTCTTGTCAAATTTTAAAAAATAATAATAATAATTCTTTTTAAAAATTCAACATAGGATTACCCAGTAATTCCTCACCTGGGTCTGTGCCCAAGAGAATCAAAAGCAGGGTCTTGAGATAGGTGTACATCCATCACAGCAGTGTTACTCCAGTAGCTAAAACCAGGACGCAAGCCTAGTGGTCATCTGCGGGAGGCTGGAGAGAGCAAACTGCTCGGTTGATACAAGGGAATATTTACTAGCTGGAGAAGACAGCCATTCTGACACCTGCTGCAACAGGGAGGACTTGGAGGGCGGTATCTCAGTAGAATAAGCCAGTCACAAAAGGACACCACTGCCTGCTCCCACTCTGGTGAGGTGCTGAGAGCATGGAGACAGACAGGGGGTAGGGGCTGGGGAGGGTTTGAGCAGAGTTTGGGTCTGGGAACATGAACAGTTCTTGGATGGGCAGTGGTGACAGTCGCACAACAGTGTACCGTACTCACCCCTGAACTGTGCACTTAGACTTGGTTAAGGTGGTGAAGTCCGTGCTATGTGTACCTTACAGCAGTAAAAATTCTTTCAAGGAGAAGCTGCCCAGAGGGTGGGCAGTAGCTCTCACTGGGAGAGCCGGGAAGAGTCGTGGGCCAGGACAGTGGATGGGAGGTTCAAGGATAAGCCACTATTGTTGACAGCTCTGCTGGGGGTGCCAGGCAACTCTGAATATGTGGTAGGGTCCCAGACCTCCTGTGTGCACAGTACCATTTAAATGGGGGTCCCAGCTCCCAGCCAGCCTGCCCAATGATGGTTCCTCACGCAGCTGGGCAGGGTGTGAGAGAGTAGGTCTTAGTGCTGTCAGAGGAGAGGGGCCTTCAGAGCAGATGTCTCCTTGTTTCTGAGTAGTCTCAGCAGTTTTTGCAGCCTGTTTAAAAGAATAATTCTCATGTCTTAAATTGGTGGCTATGGCTCGTACCGACATAATAGGCTTCCCTCTGGTTGGAAGGCCAAGTCAGATTGCACGCCTCCAGGAAAGCTCAACAAACACAGTTCAAAGCCCCTGCTTGGGCCTCATGTGCACAGGGATGGAGCCAGTGGGGCCTCATGGGTGCTGACCTGGGGCTTCGTGGTGTTTGATTTACGATGCAAAGACTGCAGTGGGTGTGCTGAAGTGTGTTGTTTGGGAGACTAGAAAGAGTTTAAGCAAAACCTTGTCCTGACGCTCTCACTTGAGTTGGCTTTCTTATTTGTGTCACGCTAGTTAATAATTTGACGAGCTCGCAGCGTGGCTCCCCAGCCAGACAGCTCCTTGTGGGAATGATTGTACCTCGTCATGCTCTAGTACACTGAGACCAGTCCAGACATGGACTGGCTCCTCCATAACTAGTTGGTAGCAAAGTGATTCCCATGTTTTACGTGCTTGGTTCATTCTTTCAGAATGTGTGATGTGCCAGGATGATGATGATATTATGGTTAGATTTCTCAGGCTGGAAATGGGAGCTCCACTCAAGGAGCCTTGTGGACAGCTCAGAGGACCTTAGAATTCTGTCCTGGCCTAGCTGATCTGCTCACGAATCATTCCCATGCCTTCTGATGATGAGGGCTCCAGATAGCATGGGGTCGGTGAGAACCACTCATGTATTTGGTCTTTGCCTGCAGGGTCTCTTCACAGCCCCTGCCCAGGTCTCAACTGTCAGCATCTTTGCGCTGTGAATAACCCCACCTACCCAGGCATTTCCAAGATGTTTGCACCAGGGTGTGTTTGCTCCTGCTGAGCACTGACGAGGCTGAGCTGTGCCATGACACGCTTACCAAGAGCCTGCACTTCTGAGCAATGGAATGCTCTGGGATCTGGGACTTTATCCCAATCTCTCTGGCGAGGGTTCAGGTTCAGCCTGGAGTAGTGAGTTCTGCAGACCCAGTAACTGCTGCGTCCTTGCTAGTGTGATACAGAGCTGTGCCCAGGGAGTCTAACATATAGAATGGCATCTTTTGTCATACTCTGGGGTTTGCCTCCCAGCTCTGCAGCTCTCTAGCCCTGTGGATTTGGGCGTATGACTCGACTGTGCTGGGTGCTAGCATTCTTGTTTTCAAGATGGCGCACATAACCAGTGTCTTCTTTTGAGGGTGATATAGACACTAACTAGCACACAGAACGTTTAGCGCAGTATATGGCACACAGCAAGCGCTTAGTAACTGCACTGAGGTCCCTGAGGTTGTCTGCAGCACGAATGGAGCCCACTGTCCATGAAGAAGGAACTGCCAGTTAGCGAAATGACTCCTGATTCTGCCGCCTCACCGCTCCGGGCCCTGAGATGAGCTCCTCTCATAGGAGGTGGGAGAGCTCTACCTCAGGGTGACCCAGGTGCACATGTGCTTCTCTGTCAGCAGAGCCGTGGCTCTTTCCTTGCTGGGCCATAGGGTCATATTACTAGTGTGTGCCCTGCTCCTAGGAAGAAGTTTTTCTTCTTTTTGTTTTTTTTAATCATTATTTATTTTCATTTTATTTATTTATTTGATCAGAGAAAGAGAGGGAAAGTGAGAAAGCAAGCCTCTAGGTCTGGGACTTGAACCACAGGTGCTGGGTGCTAGCATTCTTGTTTTCAAGATGGCGCACATAACCAGTGTCTTCTTTTGAGGGTGATATAGACACTAACTAGCACACAGAACGTTTAGCGCAGTATATGGCACACAGCAAGCGCTTAGTAACTGCACTGAGGTCCCTGAGGTTGTCTGCAGCACGAATGGAGCCCACTGTCCATGAAGAAGGAACTGCCAGTTAGCGAAATGACTCCTGATTCTGCCGCCTCACCGCTCCGGGCCCTGAGATGAGCTCCTCTCATAGGAGGTGGGAGAGCTCTACCTCAGGGTGACCCAGGTGCACATGTGCTTCTCTGTCAGCAGAGCCGTGGCTCTTTCCTTGCTGGGCCATAGGGTCATATTACTAGTGTGTGCCCTGCTCCTAGGAAGAAGTTTTTCTTCTTTTTGTTTTTTTTAATCATTATTTATTTTCATTTTATTTATTTATTTGATCAGAGAAAGAGAGGGAAAGTGAGAAAGCAAGCCTCTAGGTCTGGGACTTGAACCACAGTCAGCCATGTGGAGGTCCAGTGCCCCAGCCACTATGCCACCTGCTGGCCCCTAGGAAGAAATTTTTCTGGGCATCCAGAAACATTGTGTCCCAGGCGTTGGACTGGCTCCTCGATGAGGGGGTGTCTGGCCCCGTAGGAGGACCACCAGCGGCAGCCTGGTTGTGGCGTGAGGGAAATCCCAGGCGGGAGTTGTTTCTGCCTGTGCTCTCCCACTCACAGGCAGGAACTGAATCTGACTTCAGAGGAACTGACTAGTAAGTGGGTGAAAGGAGAAGTGTTAGCCTCTTTGTTCTTCTTCCAGAGTAATGCTGGGTGTTTAGACGGCAGGCCAATAAGGGTAGGGAGAGCCCTGCCAGCCTGTCTCCCAACCTTCAATCCTGAGAGGGAGCATTTTTGGTGCAGCATGAGTCTTGAGGAGACTGAGGGTGGAGATTTCTTCAGGAGCCCAGAGAGTTTGCTATGCCCTGGCTCCTTGGGATGGGTGTGTGCTGAAGAAGTGAACAGAAACAGAAGGACCTGGAATCTGGACTCTTCCTCACATGGCTGCAGGGGCGATGCAGGGCGGAGGGTGAGGGAATGAGGGCGTGTTCAATTCCTCTACTCAGGGGCACTACCGGGGCCTCAGTCTGACTCACTCCTCTTTAATTATCATTATTTCACTTATTTGCATGTGAGAGCTTTTAAAAAATAGAAAGGACTTAAAAGCACTCAGGAAAGCCAGGTGACCAGAAATGGCTTTGTAGAAAGCTGTGTGGTGGGTGGACGAAGTGCAAGACATCAGGCCAGTGGACCTCCCTAGTGGGCCTGGGGGGACTCTTTTCAATATGCAGGGAAAGGTACCTTCCTCCAGTCACCAAGCATGTCCACGTCCAGTCAGTGAGAGGCCAGATGAGAAGCTGGGCGCACTCAGTTTCTAGATGGGGCAGGACAGAGGATGGAGACCCCGTCACCCCAGAGGACAAATATACCCTCAGAACAAACCAGCTCTACTGAGGTTTGACTCCCCATCAAAGGGGATATATTAGGGGTATATTAGGTTGTTGGGGAAGTCCTGACATAGTTTTCTATGCAAAAATGTGTCGTGACTTTTCCCAGTAACCCAATAGTTCAAGGAATTTGGATAAGATAGTGACTTCTGTAACTACCATCAAAATCAGTATTGAGAACATTTTTATCACAC